GGGCTATACAGAGAAACCCTGTTTCCAAAAACCAAAACCAAACCAAACCAAATAACTAAGTGTCCTTTCATTCTGGGCATCTCTGTGTCCATCAGACCTGTATCATCTACATCACATATATCTGTGAGCAGTAGGAATGACAAGCAAGCTACTTACAGAGCAGCAGGCAATCAGACAAACTCCTGTAAATGATAGGTGCCTAAATCTAAGTGGAGCCTTTGGCTCAAACTCCAGCTTCTTCCATCTCAGGTCAATACCTCTGAGCATAATATATAGGAAAACAATAATTCCAAAGCTAAAAAAACACTCCCTGCTATAAAAAGAAAATATGGGTTTGCTATTCAAACCATTCAGACAAAAACAAGGACTAACTCCTGAGGATGTTGTTTGGTACTGACAAATCTTAAAACCTCTATAAACATAATATAAATGATATATACATGGAGTCAACCAACTGTGGATGGAAACCATTTAAAATTTTTAAAAGTGCATCCTGAACAGTTTAGACTCATTTTCCTTGGTGTCCCCTAAATAATACAGAATCAGAACGACTTAGGCTGTGTACAGTATAGACAACCTGGGGACAACATAAAGAGAATGCTAGTGTGTGCCTATAATTCTAGCACTCGGTGGCCAAGGCAAGAGAATTCAAATTCAAGACCAGTCTGAGCAACACATAAAAATCCCATGTAAAAAAGAAAAAACAGTGTATATGGACAGAACGTCCTCAGATTTAATATCTACAAGGGGTTCTACAATCAATCCCTCAGGAATATAGAGGAACAACTACCTGTATACAGGTTAGGAAATCAGAAAAATATAATCTCTCAAACTGGCTGTGAACTCGACACCTTCGACTTTTTAAATCAAGAAATTGCTCAGATTTTCAATGTAAAATGTCATCAGAAAAACATATTTAAGCATTTCTTAATATTATTATGGATTCTGATGCTGTATTCCAAGCCAAATCGACTCTTTGCTAACTGATACTACTCCAAATGAAAATTTCTATGCTGAAATCCTAACCTCAGATATGACATTTTTTGTGAAGGCAGAGTAGTCAGAATAGGCTTATAAGAATAATAGTTAATTTCTTCTCTGTCTTCTGCATTATGAGTATATAACCAGATCCTGTAGAAACCAGATTCTGTATCTGCTAGCACCTCCAACTCAAACTTACCAGTCCCCAACCTTAATGAAAGCTTGTTTAAATCACCTAACCTGACACAAATCCAGGCATATCCAGGAAGAGACTTTTTTTTCTTCCGAACAGGGTCTCATTAGGGTAGCTTTGGCTGACCTGGAACTTACTATGTAGACCAGGCTGGCCTTCAACTTACAGAGATTCCCTTGTTCCTGCCTCTCCTGCGTGCTGAAATTAAAGGCTTGTGCCACCACAATGCCTGGAAGAGGAATCTAAATTTCCATAAATTGCCGGTAGGCAAACCTGTGGGCAGGTTATTGACTTGATTAATGATTGATGTGCCAGGGCCCAGTTCCCTGTGGGCAGTCCATGCCTGGGCAGGTGGTCCTGGGTTATACAAAAAGCAGGCTGAACAAGCCAAGAGAAGCCAGTTAGTAAGCATGAAGGAAAAGCCATGAGTTCTGCGCCACAATTCCTGCCCTGCTTGAGTTCCTGCCCTGACATGCTTCAGTAATGGACTGTTACATGGAAGGGCAGGATAAAATAAACCCTATCCTCCCTGAATAACTGTAGTCATGAAGGTTTGTTGGTCTGTTTGCTTGAGGCAGGGTCTTTCTACACAGTCCTGGCTGTCCTAGAACTTACTATGTACACCACACTGGCCTCAAATTCAGAGCCTCTGCCTCCCTAGTGCTGGGATTAAAAACATGTACCACCATACCTAGCTAGTCATCATGTTTTAAGACATAGTCCATGCAATTTTTTTAACAGCGTGAACTAAGATAAACATCTACTTCAAGTAAAGAGAATACTTTCCAACTTGTAAGACAGAGATTGCAAATATCTAAGAATTAATATTTTTATATCCCATATATGTGTATGTAAACATATATACAATCAAACACCTTTTAATCAGGAGCTAATTATTTAAAAGAGGTGTTCACATACGAAGAGGAAAATACCCACAGCTGTGAAACAGGTACTATAAAAATCAAAGTGTGTTCTTTCCTACGCCATCGTGAGACATAGGCCCGATGTGGTTTCTTACCCTGTTTTCTCATAGCACTCAAGCAATTCCTGGCCAAGAAACAAAAATAAAATTGTTCTATTCCCCAGTGGATTCGGATGAAAACTGATAACAAACCCTGTACAACACCAAGACACTTGAGAAGAACCAGGCAGGATCTGCAAGCGTTTACACACAATGTCATGACCTAGGGTTTATGCTCAATCATGGTCATTCATCAATCCTACCAGATGGAACTGAACTTAACCTCTGGAGATTTGGTCATGTTTAAACTGGGGTTTGATTTGCTTTCATCTGTTCCACATGAGCCAACTGGTTTGTTCAGCAACAAAATATATAGAAACTTTCAAAAAGAAAATCAAAGAGACACGAGAGATGACTCACAGATGTTCCTGCAAAGGACCTGAGTTCAGTTCCCAACACTCACTTGGAGGCTTATTATACACATCTCTAACTTGAGTTCCAGGGGATCTGATGCCCCCTTCAGGCCTTTGTGGGCACCATGCATATACATGATGCACAGATATATGTAGACAAAAGACCCACATGCGTGAAACAAAATAAAAATAAATAAATTTAAACCACACCCTCTCCACTGACTAGGGGAGAACTGAAAGAGCTTGATTACGGAATGGCATCGTATATCTCATTTATCATCTCATTTATCTGCCATTTTTAAAAAGAAAATGTTTAAACTGAAAGGTTGCTAACCATAAGGAAGGATACTTAGCCCTGACTTATTTGCTATTTTAAAAACAGATGTTAAGCAGGCCTATACAGCTGTTTATAGTTCAACAGCTATGTCTACTTCTGTAACCTATTGATAGGGTCACAGAAGGACTTCCTCTCCAAGAGAATATACATTAGTGAAAAAGGCTGACAAATGACACTTGGTCCATACAGAGTAACGCGGGCCTTCAAAAACTATTAGACCACAATTCCTGAGTTCCTAACTGCTTAAGACTGAATGCACGATCACTGCGATGAGTCTCTTCTGAGAAATCAGAAAATATAATATAAAAAGTAAAATAGAAACGAAACCACATCAGAAGAAATCCAAAAGAAGAATTATACAATCTAACCTTTTCACCCCAAATTACTTGCACCTTTTCTTCCCATTGCAACACTGATAAACTTTCGAATAATTGAAATTTACTCTGGAGACACCAAAGGATTCCAAAAGATCATGGAGGGAATTTCAACTAAAATTCAAAAGCCACAAAAAGTCTGCAAAGAAAGGCACACAAGTCAAAACTTTATTAGCTTTAACAAACTAATAAGACAACAACTTGTGTGCCATTATCACTAACAAAAAAATTAGGCCAAAAAAAGAAAAAAGAAAAAAAAAAGCAATAGCAAAGCATGGTGGCTCACAATTAAAATGTAAGTCACTTGGGATACTAACATTTTGCCACTGGTGACTTTACTTTTAGCAAAAATTTAAATATAATCCCACATTTAATATATCAGTTTCCATTATTCACAGCATACATCCAGAGATGTTAGGCTTAGTGTTTCTGAATACGTATAGTTGCATTAAAAAGTACATTAGCCCTATACTAGGGAAATACTTGTAACAACCACCAGAGCTCAACGGGGGCATATCTGATCCCCATTTTCATTATCTCTTTTAAAGTACAACAGTTATGGTTTCCTGGGAAACACCAGACCATTACAGAAAAGAACATCAAATATGTCAGTTCACTACAAGGAACGTCCAAGAAAACATTCATCCTCAGCTGTGCTGAAGACAACATAAACTCAAGACAAATTTTTAAAGTAGTCCAGATATTTTAAACAATTGTTTTCATTTTGTGTCTTCTAAATGTAATTTCCCTGGATCGCACAATATAAAAAGTCTCCATGCCTTTTCTCACTTGTCACTCCTCTGTTCCGTTCTGACCAGCACATAAAGGGGTCATTAAATGGGCCACGTGGTTACTGGCAGACACAACCGACTACACTTTGGATCCAGTTAGACATAGAGCAACGTTGATGCTCGGCTGAGGAGCTACGCTGAGCGTCCACGATCATTCGGGACAGTCTGTTAGGGACGTAAACCCTGAATGAATTCGAAGAGCTCTTTGCTGTAACATCCTTCCCACCCTCATCTGTTGACAACATTAGAAGGTACAGCAGTAAACAGTCCTGGAAGAGAAAACCCAAGGGTTTAGAAACTCCTTCCCAACAGTCAGGGACCGGCGTCGGACAAACACCCTCTCCAGGGTTCCCAGTACCTGGGACTGCTAGGGTCGACTCCAGACCTTAGCACCCCGAGAACACGACACACAGGGGGCAACCCCCTTCCCCGATCGCCACCTGTCAGAGCAGAAGGCAGCTCCCCACCCTGAGCCTCCGAGCTCCCGCCCGACGGCGCCGACTCGCGAGCCGATCCCTCCGGGCGGCGGACCCAGTCACCTAGATGCTCGACCCAAGAATGTCCTGGGGCACCACGCTGCTAGCCCCCGGGGCGCGCACGACCCCTCTGCTGTGACCAAGGCTACGGTGGTGGTAGCCGGCCCGCGATGAACCCGGCACTTTACCTTCCGCTACTCAGTCAACGTGCCCTGCTCAGCCGTGGCGCCGCCGTTCAAGCTGACATCCCGTTACTCACCTCCTGACAACTGCACCGAAGAATCCGCACAACCTTGTTGGCCGCCGCCACCGCCTCAGCGTTCGCCAGCGTCGCAGCTGCGACCGCCATGTTTGTTGTGTCTCCTCTCCCTCCCCGCTCCCCGCCTTGCCCAAGTCTCGCGTGAGCGAGCTGTAGGGAGCAATTGGAGAGAGCTTATGTCTCTACTGGGGTTCCGTAGGCGGGAGTGGGCGGGGACTCTAGGGGGTGTGTGAGGAGCGGAGGAGCAGGAGTGGGCGGGGCCCGAGATTGCCCCATCTAGGGTGTCTAGCCCTGAGGTGTAGCGGGTGCCTCTGCCTGAGACAAGGATGGCTGCCTCTGCGCTCCAGCTGTGGCGTGCCGGCGGCCTGGTAAGTGGGCTCGAAACGATGATCGTCTCGGGAGATCCGGGGCGACACAGATCTCGGGCGACGTCCCCTTCTCCTAATGGTCTAGGGGATCTCTGGGCCTGGGCACGGTCTCCTCAGACCTTAAACTGGGGGGACACCGCCATCTAGATTGCCTTCAGGATCGGTTCCAGGTTTGCTTCAGCTTCTTTGGGTAGGGCTGGTGCGGCAGCTAGTGGGAAGAAGGAAGGGGCTGGTCTAGAAGCTTCGGTGAACAAACACAACTGGAATCGGAGGGCCGCCTCTGCAAGATGCCCTTTGCTAAAATCACTGAGTCTCGACAACCTTGAATCAAGGGTCCTTGGAAGCATTTTGCAGAAATATTATCTCCTCATGTCACATCTCCCCGATAATTATCACTTTTTTTAACGGTTAAAATCTAGCCTTAATGTGGAGTCACCTTCTTCCTTTCAGCAGTCCAGCTGGAAAAACTGGAAGGGAACTCATATACCTGGAACTTGTTGTTCAGGCAAAGAATTTCTTAGACTTTACCTCGCCGCTGGAACCTCGGCGGCTTCCTTGGAGGGACCTACTTTAGACTGTGGGGAACCCAAGAACCCTTTCTAATCCCCCCTTCCTCAAACTTGAACTGAGGCCAGGCTGTTTTCTCACCTGGATCTCTGGCCTCCCATAGCCCCCTTTGACTTTCTGATCTTGGAATTGGACAGACACACCGCAGAAGTCAGACTGAACTACGGAATAGCAGAAAACACTCTTATCAGAGTGGACAATGGCCAAAGGAACTACTGTGCCAGCCTACATTTTTAGCTGGATTTTGTTATTTCTTCAGGTGCCTGAAATAGACAGCTTTCCTAAGGGTGTTTTCTTGCTCAGATGATTGGCAGATTCCTTTGGATTATCTTTTAAGGGAAAGAATAATCAGATGCCTTTGCTGTGGTGGTGTTGGTTAACTGGAAAACCTCCAGCTAGATAATAATCTATTTCCTTGGGCAAATGTCAAGTCTCAAGCCTATTAAGAAAGACTCAGATCCCATTATCTGAGGACTAGAAATCAAAATCCTGCAGTATTCGCTCCTGGTTTTACAAGCTATTATTGAGGGGAAGGGCCCATCTTCAATGACATTAAAACTTGCCAAAAATCTGATTATCTAACATTTGTGTTTATTTATGGTCTCCGAATCCAAACAAACTGTTGACTCATTCAAAGTTCTTGTGTCAAAATCAGCATTGCCACACTTAACTTTTCTGCCCTGTTCAGGCCTTTGACCTCCTACAGCATGCTTTCCAGACCTTTCATGCATCTGGATACACTTGCCGTTGTCAATATAGGTAGTTCATTGAACTTTATTATTTGCTTTTTATATTTGCATTTACTGCAATGGATCAAAGGCTCTTCTGTTTCTTTAGACCTGTGCCTGGAGGCAGCAGCACTCTGTGCCTCTTTGTCTCACATTGTAGATAATTAATGTTATTTGAATGTTTTACAAGTTTTAGGTGTTCAGAAAATTAGTAGAATTAGTGTATTGTCCCAAAGGGTTTCATGCTTATTATGTTTTATAATTGTTGCTTAATTGTAATGTAGCAAAGAAAATTGTCTAGTTTTTCAGTTTGATCCATGATTTATGTAACCTGCATGTTCTTGGTGCTCTTCCATCTTCTGATCTCACTTAATTTTTACAAACATCTGAACAAGTAGCAGTTTAATCTTGAGATGTAAAGATTTCATACAAATGATTAGGTGACTGGCAAAAGCTACTGCTACTTCTCCTTTGTTGGAGATATCACAGAGGTATTTTGTTTGGATTTGTGCATTTATAGTCCTGAATAGGTTTTGGATCTCTTTTATACAAATTAGCATATTTTACTAAATTTTGCCTAGTGTGGTGGTTACTAAAGTAGATTCTGATGCCAACATACTTGAATATAGAACCCAGGCTCCATGGTGTAACCTTAGCCAGATACTTAAGCTCTTTGAGTCTTAGTTTCCTGATATGTAAAATGGAAAAAAATACTGATAGTACCAATTATGGGGTTGTTGTGAAGACTAAATGAATTTGTATGTTCATGTAAGGCCCTTAGAAGAGCCCAACATCTACTCAGCTTTCCCTAAATGTTCTTACTGTCAAGCATGAGGCACTGTGTGCTATGGCAAATGCAATATGGACTAAAACACTATGGTCAAGAAGTTTAGCCTCAAGGTTTTCAGAACTACATCTGCCTAATCACATGTCATTTAGCTGTGGAACAAATCCTAAGAGGTTCACAGTGTACCCCTGAGTTCAGAGGAGAGAGCAATTGTGTGGATCATTACAGGGCAGAGAGACGATTTAGAATCTAGGAGTTCTAACCCATTCTTTCTATGAACCCTCTGAAGTCGGTATTACTGGCTTCAGTTGCAAATGAAGAATTCAGAAGTAACATCCAGTGCTTCCAGCTCTCACAACATTCAGGTTCCAGGAGAATGCTCTGTCTGCCTCTGCCATTGGTCTTTTGCATTCTCACAGATGGGTTAGAACTGCTTTGCATATTGTAAGTTCTGGAGTCAAGATGGTTGAGTTTGAATTCTATCACCTCTTAGCCTAATTACTTTAGAAAGTGACTTCCCCACTCTCCTTCCATTTCCTTTTCTGCAAAGGGCAAGAACAGTGATTTAAATTAGATATTATATACTTAGAACAGATTCTTACATCTGGTAAAGACTTACCGAACACTAGCTACTGATACAGGCAAAATCCATTACCAGTGACACCGAGAGAAAGGGGATAAAGGTGTCATCATATAAAGTGTGTAGGGCAAGTCTTGAAGATAGTAGGGTCCCTGACACCAGTGAAATTCTGTTTTTAATTAGGGAGATGGGGCATGTGTGTTTTTAAAAAGTGAATATTAGGAAACAGAGTATTGCTACTGTTGAGGAAGTAGTATGGGCAGATAGGCTTATAGGAGATGGATCTTGAACTGACTAGCCAAAGAAGGATTGGCTTAGATTTAGGTAAAGAAATAGAAAGGCAGAGAGTAAGGCCAAGGAGATGTGTAAATAAAAGTATAGAGACAGAGAAATACTCTGCTTGATTAAAAATAATATAATATAAGAATGACTGGTATGATAATTTTACAGAGAGACTGTTTTCCAATGGCGTATCTGTATCATGTTATGGATTTTTGGCTTCCCAAATCTAAGAAACTTATCCACTGTAGAAATTAGTCACAGATTTATTCTGCCCTTTTCCATGTGTCTGTTGCCCAAAGGATCATAGTCCCAACTAACATTCTCTTTTGTTTACCAAAACATAGACTTGTAAAAAAAATGACAGATTTTTTTTTGAAGATACAATTATATCTTTTTTTCTACTCTTTTTCTCTCTCTGATGCCAAGACCACTAATCATAAAAATCCTCTCTGGAAACTATAACCTTCTCTCAGGATCCTTGCACACGAGCTGTCTTGGGCCTACACTTTCTGGATTTCTTTCATAAGGGTTAGACCAGGGTTTCTCAACTTTGGCAATGATGCCATTTACAGCCAGCTCATTGTTTATGGTAGAGAACTGTCCCCTGTGTTGTAAAATATTTAATGTCACCTCTGGCATCATGAGATACAAAGGCTATGGGTTTTGACTACTAAAAATACCTCCAGAGATTGCCAGTGTCCCCCTGGATGCAAATCCATCCTTTGGAGAACCACTGGTATAGAACTGTATAATGCTCTAAGGGTAGGGAAAGATGTTTCTTCCATATAACATTGTAGGTATTAAGACCAGGCTCTTACTCCAAAGAAAATAAGACAATAGTTTATTCTGACCCAAATAAGTAATTATAGCCTTCAAAGATGGATTCAAATTGTGTAAATGGCATGTTCCACTGTGGAAGAGGTTATATGAACTTTTATAGTCACAAAAGATAGTCTTAAATAAGTGCAACTGGCAGATTGATGGAGGCAACCAGGCAAGTGGGTTGCAGCAGACTTGGGAAATCTTTGTTTCAGGTTTCAAATACTGCCTTACAACATTCTTTCCTTTAGGGTTGGTGGAAGCTAGTGGTCTAGTAAGTTTAACAGTTCACTCTATAAGTTTAGTTTGTTTGGACCAGTCACTGTTCTTTTTCTAGAAAATTAAGGCCTTGATAGGAACTCCTAGAGGCTAGAACAAAGAGCCAGAGATCCATGGAAGAGAGAAGTTCAGTCTCAGTTTCTTTTTTTTTTGTTTGTTTGTTTATTTGTTTTGTTTTTCCAGACAGGGTTTCTCTGTATTGTTTTGGAGGCTGTCCTGGAACTCGCTTTGTAGACAAGGCTGGCCTCGAACTCACAGAGATCCGCCTGCCTCTGCCAAGTGCTCGGATTAAAGGCGTGTGCCACCAATGCCTGGCGAGAAGTTTAGTTTCAATAGCTTTGAAGAACAGCAAGAACAGAAGCCAGGGTCTGTGGGTAAAGCAAGTGGAATGGAGATACTGGATTCTAATTTGGGGCATGGCGATATGTAAACAGGGAAAGAAAGAGGTAAATTTGAAATGAGACCCGTGGCTCTCTTTCCGGATGGCTGCATATTCTGATATAGAATTTTCAGCTCCTTCTCCAGCAGTTTCTACCTTCCTGTTGCCATGCTTCCCACCATGATAAAAATAGACTTAACTTCTGAAACTGTAAGTCAGCCCCAGTTAAATGCTTTCTTTTATGCATTGCTGTGATCATGGTGTCCCCTCACAGCACTAGAACACTGACTAAGGCATTTTATAACTTCTCGTTAGCATACACAAATTGCTAACTTTTGCATTTTTCTCCTGCACTTTACAGCATTGTTGAATAAAACAAGAGATGTCCTGAACAGCACTAAACCCTCTTTGCTCCCTCTCACCCTAGTGCTTGTGTTTCAGCTTAAGGGAAACTATCACTGCCCCTGCCAACCACCAGAAGTCCAAGTAAGGTTATCCATCCCTGGGTTGTTTTGTTTTGTTTTGGTTTTTTGAAACAGAGTTTCTCTGTGTATCTCTGGCTACTGGGAGCCAGCGCCA